TGAGCATATTTATATTCATCTCGTATAAGTTTTTGCACGCCGGAGAATCGGCCACTCATAACGGCGGCTCCATCGTAACTTTGTGAAATTAATTTATCAGTATTTTCTGATACTTCTTTTAAATTATCTTTTATACAATCAGATAATGACTTGGCATCATGTCCCGAGGGAATGAAAAATCCCCAAAATCTTTCAACCCGTATACCGTCAGATAAAATATATCTAAATACTATAGACATTTGAAATTGAGATGATATGTCTGTAGTCTCATCAGCAATTATAGAAAAAAAATCAGATTGTTGTATTTCATTTTTTATATGAGTCTGTCTATGCGAGATTTGTCATATATATGTGATACATGTGATACATGTGATACCCACAAGAACATACGAGTACCAGGGTCGCATGAGCTAACATCGTCGGGTTGCCTTAGCGCACTTTTTCAAATAACACACGTGTCCAGCCATAAGTGAATAAATACGATCGAGATTCACACGAATTGCGAATTACTCCGCGAGAGAACCCGAATTAGACTAAACAAATAGAAAATAATAATATTATAATATTATAATATATAACAGTGGCGGTTTTGGGGGTGAGGCATGTGAGGCACCGCCTCATTTGTAATTTTTACGAAAATAAAAAATATTTGGTTATTTATATTGGTATTTTGTACTATTTTTAAATTTAAAATTTTAATCGTATTATCTAATTTTTAATTTTAATTAATTAATTTATATTTATTTATTTTAGATATATATATTTATATATAACAACAATATTGAATATTATTTTTTTGTACAAAAATTGTGCGAACGCGAGAATGGCTGCGCGTCGCTGCAACGTAACTTACGAGCTATTATAATATTAATAGTTTCCATTGCCGGTCATGTAAATGGTTTACAAGCTAAAGTTACAGAGGTTGCTCCTAATGCGTTATTTACACACTGCTTAGCGCATCGTTTGAACTTGGTGTTACAGCATGGCTGCAGTGCTAACACACAGTGTCGTATTTTTTTTGCAAACATGACTGGAATTTCCGCTTTTTTTCATAATTCTACCTCGCGTACGAATGTTGTAGATGCTATTGTTGGTAAACGCATACCGCAATTTGTTCAAACGAGATGGGCTTCTCGCTCAAAAATTTTGAACTTAGTTGTAGACAAGTGGGACGAATTTAAAACGGTTTTTGAACATATTATAAATGATTCAAATTCGTCATCTGAGTCGATTTGTGGTTCAACTGGGCATTTAAACAATTTGAAAAAATTTGACTTCGCTTTTTTAGCTCAAATATTTAACAGTATATTTTTACTCACTGACAAATTGTTTAATACACTTCAAAATAAATCATTTGATATGGAATATTGTATGCGACAAATAAATATAGTATATGATCTCGTTAGTAAAAAAAGAAATGAATCTAAGTTTTTATAACTATTTAACAATACGATAGCGTTAACAAAACATCCTAAGGAAACAAGAAATATGTCTAATCCTCAATTAAATTATAAAGTATTATATTATGAAATACTTGACAATATTTTACTCCAGATAACGACGAGATTTCAAAATACTGATAAATTGATATTTTTACAACTGGCTGATGTTTCAAAATTTAAATACTATTCTACAAATTTCCCTGTAAATGCATTTAAAAATCTGGGAAAATCTTATTCCGACATATTTGTTGATAATAACAAATTAAAATTAGAGTTAGAAGTATTATACCACGATGAAAAATATCAAGATTTACATCATGTTTATGATATAGTCAAATGCGTGAGCAGACATAACTGGCAGGGTAGTCATACATAACACGTTAACATTTAATTTTAACAAAATATTTAAATGGAGTAACTTCATTTAACTTAATAATTATATTTTTCCAATAATCTAATATTTTCCGTTTGCAGACGTGTCAAAGTGGTCAAACATAATATGGTTATTTATTATTGTGATAATAATGAATATTTTGATGTTAGGGAAAAGTTCGCAGAGTAGTCAAGTGCCTACCCTGACTACTCCGTGCGCACGCTTATGGATATAGTAACAATATTTGAGAGTAGTGGATTAAAAGTAATTTTGCCTGAAATTTGAGATTAAAAATAAGAAAATGCTGGTTTAAAAATAAATAAAATGTATAATATATAAATAAATAATAAATATAATAATTATACAGTTAATCAGTAATGTTTTTGAATTCCGAATCGATTCCTCTGTCTTTTTTTTTCATGAATATTTTGATGACTTTATTAAATTAAATTAAAAAATATTTAATAAATTAGGTATTGTAAATTTTTATCGTATAAAGAAGAGCACCGTCAAATGAAAATACATAACACTTAATGAAATAAAAGAATGGACAAAAAATGATTAATTATTATCATGTTAATTTGCATCTTTAATGTGTTTCTCTGTCAGTGTTGAATAAAATTAGGCCTTCGATGATAATGATTTTCTTCCTAATTTTTCCCAACTGTCCATGTACCCGTATGATATACGTGTTACAAGCGGTAAATGTATGGCGTTAAACTCTTTAGCTATCTCTCTAAACTTGTCAAACCTAGGTTAGGGTTACCAGATTTTATTTTTCCGAACCGGGGACTTTTTGAATGGATAAATATTAAACATATATAGTATTATAAATATATATATATCGCCATATAAAAGAAAAAAAATGTATATATTTTTTTTAATGAATTATGTATAGAAACATTATAATAATAATAATAATAATAATAATCATAATAATTCATATTCATAGTCTTCGAATCTTTTGGGGTTCAGAATTTCTTCTGTTGATTTTACTACATATTTGACTGACCCATAAACTTGTTTTAATAAAGACTCGTTTCCCAAACTTTGGTCGTAAAATTCTTCATAGGATATATTATTGCATGTTATTATTTGAAGCACGTTTTTATATCTAGTTATTATCTTGTATTTGTCCATGTTCTGTTCATCAGTGCATTTGAACCCGACAAAACAAAAATAAATTTAAACAATTTTTAACAGCTCAGAAAATGCATGATTGTTATCAGTGAATATTTTGAAAATATATATCCATTTATTTTCTATTTTTTGACAATGCCATTCGTCATTTTGTGGATAAATTTTTTCAAACATTTTGAATTGTTCGAAAAACATTTATTCATCAAAATTAAGATTGTTTGACATTATAGCTTTTATAAAGATTACTGATTTTTTGACATTTTCCCAATTTACTATTATCTTTGGGGCTAATGTTATCCATAACATTGATTTTAAATGAGTTACATGTTGATTTGAATTGTTACATTTTTTTAAATAGTTGTGTCAAAATACATCAAATTTATCAAATTAACTTTCAAAATTAGTTTTATTGATAATTCCTCGTTCTCAAGTTTTGTTACGAGATTTTCAATTTCTACCGTGAAAAGCCGATCCTTTCTTTTGTTTTCAATTTTCTTGATATTTTATTGAGTAAAATTTTGAAACCGGGACAAATCCCTGCCCCGAAACACTTTCTCGGGACACTTGGTTAAAAACCGGTAGTGTCCCCGTAAAACCGGGACGTATGGCAACCCTAACCTAGGTGTTATTAAGTTGATGTTAGTGTAGATAAGCTTGATGCCATAAATATATATGAATCAATGAATCAAATGGTGAACTTGTTACTTATGTATTTTGAAAACGAAATGACTTCTCCATCGTGTTTGGTATTACAATGAATGTATTATCATGTTAGCCGAGTTCAGTTATGATTTATGCATTATAGTTTGAAAGATTATGTAGAAAAACAGGAACGAATTTAGGTATTTGTAATTTTAAATTACATCTATTACATAATGTTTGTCTGAATTTGCCTGAAAAATAGTGATGATCGAAGAAAAAAAATAAAATGTTACGTAAAGTAGCATGATTGAAAAAATTAGTGAAGGGGGTATAATAGGTCATGCGAACGATCGGGTGGTGGTGGCTGGCGGCTGGTCCAGTACCCCTGGAGACCCCCCCCCCCATAAATACGCCACTGGTCTATGATCTAGATAATTTTTTATGAAATTATCTGTATCTTATCTAGATCAATTTTTGTTATCTGGTCTCAACACTGATCATAATTTATTTCTGTATAGTAGTTACATAATATATTAACCTAATAGCATGTAAATCTTGGGGCGGCTTCTTGAGCTCAGATACTAATTATAAACATAATCAATATTATATTTTATAGTTATCTATATTGGTTATTATATATTTAAATTTGTTTGCATATTTGGTATTGCCAACTCTTTACGTTTTATTCAACGAGCTAAAGATACAGATGAATAGTTATATATTTATAGGGTTTGCTCCAGATCGAAATGAACATATTATATATTACAATATAAACATTATTTAAAATAAATTCTGTTGATTCGCATCATGTATCCATATACAATATTAAGTTAAATGAGCATTAATTATTCTTCTTTTTATAAAAACTATTGGTTGAAAAAATATATTTGTAATAAAATAAAAATTACATTTGGTATGTTATAGGTATGTAACATTGAGATAACATTAAATGAAAAAATAAATATTTAAATTTGGATTGAAACAATATAAAAAATGACTTAATGCCCTCTAAATAAATTATATCTGAATATATTTTAGTGTATGGCTAAAATTAAAATATTATTGACAATCAATATTCGCGAAATTGTCCCCAGCAACGGATTAATTGTGTTTTTTGTTTATTATTTTTTCGATTCTTCACTTCTGTTTTAAATCTCAACCTATAAACATCACTTTATTATTTTTTGAAAAAATTTTTATTATTTAAGAAAGAAATTATGGACACTTATGACCTGACCGACTTCGTCCTGTCAAAAAGATTTGTAATGTGGCAGTTTTTGTGCCTACGTATTTTAAAAAAATTCTCCTGAACAGAACCGTCACCCTGGTGATAGGGCGTTGTGAATAAAAAATAATTAAATAAAACATATATAAGGATTTAAAAGTAAGTAATCACTTTATTGTTAATCATGTGAATCATAATTATTATTATTATCATTGTAGTGCTTTGTGTGGTATACGATGTTTTTTATTTGATTACCTGGCGCATAGATAAACAAATCTGATGGTTTTCCAACACGGGAACAGGCAACATACAATTGACCATGTGAGAAACATGGGTTTTCTAGATTAATACCACAAACACTTAATGATTGCCCCTGGGACTTGTTTATAGTCATAGCAAAAGCAAGACGCACTGGAAACTGTAGTCGTTTAAACTCAAATGGCACATCAGTCGGAATCATTGGGATGCGCAGTATGAGAACATCTTCTCCTTTATACTTTCCTTTGAGTATAGTTGCTTCTATCACATTGTTTAGTAATTTTTTTTATCGCTAACCGTGTACCATTGCAAAGACGCGGTTGGTTGATATTTCGCAACATTATAACCACCGATCCAACCTTTAATTGAAGATTGTGAGGTGGCAATCCTGTCAAATCCAGCGAGTTTAAAAATTCCGGTGGATAGTTGACTACATCATCTTGATTAGTAGCCGAATCAACTGATTTATATATCCTCAATTCGCCTGTAATTTGTTCTTGAATTTTGAAATTTAATTCATTTACATCTATGTTTTTTGCAGCCAGTATAGCTCGTTCGCTCAACCAATCATGGTTTCTGTAATTTTGAGAAACATCTGGAAACACCTTCTGAATAAGTTCATCTTTTGATCGAGTTAACTGACAAAAACTTTGAGGAAAGTTAATGCAGCCAGTCAACATGTCTATAGGAAATTTGCCATTACCAATGTCAATGAGTTGTTTAGAGAATATGTTTCCAGATTGGTCATTTTGCAACTCGACACGCATATTCTTGCTTAAATGAAGTATTTTGACATGTTTCCACAAACTGGAGGACTTTAGACATGCATTGAGTTCATCAGCTGGCGTTGATCGTGGAATCACCGGCAATGTTTGACGAAAATCTCCTGCTAATAAAATCATTGCACCACCAAATCGGTTATTATTGCTCCGTAGATCTTTTAAGGTTCTGTCCAAAGCCTCCAAAGATTTTTTATGTGCCATCGTGCATTCATCCCAAACAATCAATTTACATTGCTGCAAAACCTTTGCCATTGCAGAGTTCTTCGAAACGTTGCAGGTTGGAGTTTCATTGCTTTGCATATTTAATGGCAATTTTAGTGCTGAATGGGCTGTTCGACCACCTTCAAGCAAAGTTGCTGCAATTCCCGACGAAGCGAGTGCAAGTGCAATTTTATTTTGTGAGCGAATTGTTGCTAATATTAATGAAATCAAAAAAGTTTTTCCTGTACCACCAGGTGCATCTAAGAAGTAAATCCCTCCAGTTTCATCATTTGTTACTTTCATAAGAGTTTCAAATACATACTTCTGTTGTTCATTTAACAGTGGAAGATTTGTTTGAATTAATTCTTTCAAAGCGTTGAGATCATACAGTCTTTCTCGATGCAACTCTTGGTTAAAAGCGTCATGCATTGGACGATTGGGCGCGGTCAGGCCTAATTGAATTAATAGTTTGTTTGACATTATCAAGCACATGTCCTCAATTGAAATCAATGCTTCATTGTAAATTTCTTCACTGATTTATATATTTGGATTTCCCATTCTATTCTGTATTTGATACAAAATATCATCACACATATAATCTTTGTACTTGATCCACAAATCAATTGGGTTTGATGGGAAGCATGTAGATATGATTATAGAAAACAATGTTCGTATTTGATGAGCGTGTGATGATATTACAGCATCATTGAGAGTTTGATCCCAATGAGCGTCATTTTCAAGCAATTGCAAACGTTGACAGGCTTCTTTGTAGGATCCACACAATTCACCATCAACAGTTCGTAACTGTTGGAATGATGTTGGACCACGTACATTGACTAATAGCAGTCGTAAATAAAAACATTCATCATTGCTTGGATGTACTGAATAAATCCGGCCAATCGCATCGGTGGAATATACATCTGTATATCCTGGAACTGGTTTTCCTTGTTTCCGTCGTATAAATCTCCTTGAGGATTGATTCCAGGTATAATATTTTGGCATTTCAGAATATAGCAATGTTTGTGCGAAATCATCGTTTTGGCATGTCTCAAAAAAACTGGTTAATGTAGTAGATGGTGGCTGAGCAGCTCTTTGTACTGCGTTCTGTGCTGTAAAATACATTCTTTGTCCATTTTCTAAATGCACAGCTAAGTGAACAACAGAAGGGTGTCTCTCATGAATAGGAAAAGAAAATATTCGCCAAACTGCTTCATTACTACTGACATAGCGGCCCATTTGGTATTGGGTAACTTCATTATTGGAATTCTCTGCACCAATTCCAATCACAGCCATATCACTCCCTTTGGTTACATATTTGCAAATGTATTTAATAGATTTCACTGAATGGCAAGATTCAACGTTGATGTGTGCTTTGAATGTCTTTAATAAAATGGGTGAATATGGAACAATCCAACGATTATCTATTTCAATATCTTGTTGATTTAATTTGACAATTGTTGATTTTCCATTGTCTGCTGTCGATCTGCGACGATACAATGGATAACCGTCATTACCAGTAATTGTTTCCGATATTAATGTCCGTGGATATCGTTTTGAACATTTACCATCCATCATACACGGTGAATTTTGATTAAGAGTTCCACAGGGACCATGTATCATGTTTTTGATAACTACCTCATGCAATCCAGGATCTACTTGTACATTAGGGATTTCAGCTGATATCACTGCATCAACTTCATTTGGCCTTATCTTTTCAACCAACCAAATCAAAATGTGTGCATGTGGCAATCCTCGTTTCTGCCACTCCACAGAATACATCCAGCAGCGTGTCTCACCAAACACATTTCAACTTTTGTCTAAAGACTCTGGCTGTAATATCATGACGATCAATGGGTGATTGCCCAGAGAATAACTCCTGCTTGATTTCTATCCATTGTGGATTGCATGTAAATGTGATGAACAAATCTGCTGTACCATAATGACGAACATACGACATGGCATCTTGAGCATATTCGTGCATATGCCGAGGGCTTCCGATATATGTTGCTGGAAGAATAGTCATCCGACCGACATTCTGTGCATTTCCATCAGTATTAATCGCATCTCGAAGGTGAATATACTCTTCAGATCGGAGTTTGGTTTAATTCAACCTGATGAATGTTAATCTCTCCGTTTCAATTTTAACATACATGTCAACAACATATTTGTGATAAAATCGCCGACATTTCAATATGTGATTATCTTCATTTTCCCGAATCATTAGGCGGTATGAATAATAGTTCATTGAACTGACTTTTTTGTTGGTTTCAGAACCTGTAAATAGATTTTGTTTTAATAATAAAATACATAATATAATGACTGAGACATTATCGCCATAGCTAAACTAATATTTTAGTTACCTGTAATGGGATTTATCATTTTTATTGAGAAATCGTAGCCATCTTCACCTTGCCAAAATATAATGGGATATTGCAGTGCATCATATGAGCGGTGTGTTTCCTTTATACGTTGTAATTGATCATTCCGACGATGTAAAACAATATCACGGGATTCCAAGTTTTCTCCAACTACAACGATAGCAACTTCATCAATAGTTGGTGCATTAAAACGTCTTGTATGTTGACCTGCAGGTGTTTTATCAGCTCTGATTACAATTTTGTGATTATCGGATGGCATCAGATCCAGGGCAGTTTTAAACAATATAATCAAATGATTGTGTTGATGAAATAAAGTTTGTAATTGTTCTACAATAGACCTCTTTACTAAATTGTTATGTGCACAACGCAGATCAATTTCTTGTGGTGAATTGCCCATAAAATAAATTTGCAGGAATTTGTTGTCGCTATCTGACACTGGTAACAGTGAACCTGCTCTGTGATATATTTGCCCTTGTATCTGTAAATAAAAAAAAAATATTATGGTGTGGTATAAATTAATGGATTGTCAGTGATCAAACTTAAATAATATTTGATCTTAAAAAGTATATATTTAGTTTTAACTAATATCTATAAAATATAAAATATAATAAAAGTGTCACTGAAACTGAATCACCATATAATATGATGACTAAGTGATATATTTCGTAATGATTAAGAAATTGAAGATTAGTGACACATTTTAACTTTGGTGACAGAAAATTTTGTTCGCTAAAATAATTATGAGTAACTGCTATAATACATACCTTGAAAGTTGGCATACAATTTTCCCGAACTACATTTGTTGCCCCAAATGAAGTCATTTGAAAGCAATTGTTATATTGTTGGATATGTGTCAAAAAGTGTATAGAATCTGTTCCTATTCCTGAAACCAATGAGTACAATGGTTCTGGTGGTGGATCCAATGGTATCAATTTCACTTTACCATTTGCGCAACACAATCCATTGGCTTCGTTTTTGTATTTTAATGCCTTACAGTGTGAGCAAACCGAGTTCATAGAACCAATAACAACACATTGGTAGTTACTGTAGTCAATTGACACATCGTAACTGAAAGCAGCTCGATTCAAACTTGCGCGATTATTAGTTGAATGTCGCGCTCGCGCTTCACGCGTTTGTGATATCCGAATTCTTTCACGTTCATTTCCGTCGTCACGTTCTTGTGCAGTACGATTAGATCGGTAATTAGCTTGGTTTGTAGCATTTCTGGTTCTTCTACCTAAATTGCTTCGTCTTATAGGAGGCATATCAAATATAAATTATTTTTTCACTAATCACGAACTAAACAAACACTAACTAACTAAACACTCTGCACAAAACACGATATACGAATTTGTTTCGTGTATCAGTTGACAAAAGCAAACTCAGTAGATTAGGTAACAGACAACTTTTTTTTTTAAATTTGATATGACTTGAAGTCAAATCCTTTTAAGCCGTACGAATTGTTTTATTTATTTAAAAATAATAAAACACTGTTGGTAACACGATTTTTGTTTGACTGATGTAATGACGTGGAAACTGATGCATTTTATCTCGCGTGCCGAAACTAATACAAAAGAAACGCGAGGTTCGGAACGCGACATTAAACTGCCAATACGTATTGTGCGGCACGGCGGTCCGCGGGTTTCCAGCTACCTGCAACCTATCCTTTTTGTTCGTCGTCGTCGTCGTGTAGATAAGAATAAATCGAAACTATATTTATAACTTTATACGCAAGTCCAAATTAATTCTACAAATAGAATTTGTATGTGTATTGGTTTATGTTATCGGTGTGCATTTTATCGTTCATTATAATAAAATAGGAGTATTGGTGTACGCGCGATGCATGAGATTATTTTTATCGATAAACTTACGTTGAGTAGTTAATAATTTTTGAGATACAGCGATCAGTGAGTCAGTGGTATTTGGATTATATGTATAGATAACTAATTATTGACTAACATTATCGGACTTTATTTATGCCTATTACCGTGATATCCTCTTTCATTTAAAAAAAACTGTATGAGAATTGGATAAGAAGTTGCGAAGCCAATATAAATAAAAAAGGTATAATATAAGAAAATAGTATTTTTTTCATTCTCATTTTTTTTATATATAATAGTTGAATACCTCCTGGGTGAAGCCGGGTAAACCAGCTAGTTTAATATGAACTTTATACCATAGCAATAAAGCTCAAATTGACTACGTTTTAGTTACAAATCATTTGTATTAGAAAAAGAAAAGGGCTATTTTTAGGGTTTTTCCAGCAATAATTCTAATTTTTCTCGCCGTAAAAACCATCCTTGAACTTCAACGAACATTTGAAAAAAAGATTTGGCCAAATTGGTCCAGGCGTTGTTGAGTTATGCGCTTACCAACACATTTTGCGATTCATTTCCTAACCTAACCTAACCTAACCTAGAAAGAAATTATGGACACTTATACTATGAATGAATATTCGGATAACGTATTGTAAGTAATTATTATTTTAGAATGTTATTAACTTACCTAATACAATAATTATTGGAAAGTACATTTACAAAATTAACATAAATACAGTGCAACTAGTCTAACTTTATGTCTTAGACGGAGTGTAGATAATACAAAAGCCGGTCTTGTATGTTTAGCACTGAATCGGACTCAAATTGTATTGCGTAGCCAGAATTTGGAGGTAGTTTTAAATTTTCAATTCTCCGATATTAGTAACAACTTTTTAATTTTAATATGTCGTTTAATAATAATAATAATAATAATGTCGTATAATAATATTATTTATTTTAATATAACAAAGATCATTCACATGATGCAGAACTGATGGACAGTAATATGGCTATTTGATGTAAACAATGAATATTAGGATACACTTCTTTTGAATTTTTTTTTTTTTTATTCTTCTAAACCAAAATTTGGTTCTAACTTTATGGCACATTTTTGTGTTGCAGTCATTTTACAGCTTATCCCTTTCACTCCCAGAATTATTTTTTTTCTTAATATTTTTTTTTTTGTTTAAATATTATTTAGAAGTGTCTAAGTAGTACTTCTAATTAAATTTCAAAATTTTATGATTTTTTTTTACCTAAAATTTGAATATGTCCTTCCACAAAGACAATAGGAGTGAAAGATATCAAAGTTTAAATTGTCTATTTTTCATTATTAAATAATTTGACATTTTGTTAATGGTTTTAATTTATATTTTATCGTAGTATTATATCACTTTTTTTAAAAGAGTAACATGTTTATTTTTTTGAAATATGTATATATATATGTAATATGTATATGTATCACACCAACAATAATATACAGTATTTGGAATTCTATACAACAAATAATAGAACATAGTTGGAATTTTAAATGTTACTTTAATTTATATTTATAACTATCTCATTTTGAATATTATGACACAGAAGGGTAATACGTTATACGTTCAATAAAGATATAAAATCAAAGTAAACAATAATTTTTAAATTATTTTAATTCAGAAATATTTTAGTAATTGTTGAATTGTACGGGTTGCAGGTATCAATAACCATAAAGGAACATGAAAATGATAGAGGGGCTTTAGCACTTTTAAGTTTTTTCATTAAAATTGCGCCCCCTGTATTTGGATTGTTCACAGATTTTACGGCTCCGCGGTGTACGTAAAAACTTAACTATAGAATTGAAAACGTACGTTATATTTAAATAATATTATAATGACATGTTAACTTTAGTGAAAATTATTTCACAGCGTGACATTTTAAGAAAGCAGTGAAATTAGTTTTCAGAATAATATTATTTCTTATTCTAGCACTTGGCATAATTAATTCGTATAAAAGCAACATAAATTTACAAAGTTTCGATCAATGATGAACACGAAAAACGATTTTCGTCAGTCCCCTATAAATAAGGAATAAGAGTAAAATTTTTAATATCAGTTAATAAATGTGTAATTGAATACATTTAATAAAATACTATTGTACGTATGTTGATTGTTGGCCAAAATTAAAAACATATTTATAGTATTGATTTATGTTTGTTACTTTAGGTACGTAGTTGTGCATTTTTATTTCCACAGAAATGAAAGAGTGTTTTTAATTTATCGCAAGTCTGTTCTTACCATTCGACGTTTACCTAAATTTCAAATTTTTTTCTGCTCCTATAAGTATATTATATATTATCATTATTACGATTATTTGTATTCAACTTAATCTTCGTTCCAAGACGGTATTAGTGTTGTACGATTGATATCCAATATCATACAATATAAGTATGTACCTTTTTTTTTTTTTTTTTTTTTTTGTATGTTTGAACCGACGCCATTAGGGGAAATGGTTATCCCAATACTTCTCCATTGGCACCATTGTTTATTGTTTTAATTCAATAAGTTACAATATAATTATTACGACAATTTATCGATACAATAGTGGTAGGTTATCACTTCCTGTGCACCATTCTTCCCGCCCCGGCGTACGCCCGCCGGCCTAGAATTTTGTTATTGATATGAAATCTTCCCGACTCGGTATCAATGATCAGTCGATCTGGAGACTCGTTCCGGTTAGCCGTGATCGTTGTCCCTCGCTGATGCCATAGATTCGATATGGTCTTCCTCATGCCCGTCACTCTGGAGCCGATGGTTTCGGGAGTGAGGCCATTTGATCTTCGAATCTCCTTCACCGTATCCACGTAGGTGCTGCCAGTGGCTATTTTAAATTCCCGTGGCATGAGCTACTATCGGGCGCATCCCCAGGTTGCGGATAGGGGAACGCCCTGCAGATATGCAGGGTAGCCGCGAAATAAGCCAATCCTTCGAGATTGGGCGAATAATCGGTCGCGGACAAGCTTCACCGGGGCCAAACTCCCCGGTGCTACATTGACTCGGCCCTTACTTTAAATAGTTGGGGTCGGCAAGGTAGGCACCACTTGTGAACACTTCACAAACGGGCCCAGAAGGATACTATAAACCACCGCAGTCCCGGTTCTTACCTTGGTTGGTTGGACCCGGTAGGACTGGGCATCTCCCGCTTGCAAACAGCAAATTGGCCTCCACTCAACCCCTCATGACCGTAAATGGAGCTTACTTGGCAGAGAGTGGCCGAGGCTGGTTTTAATTAATTGGTCCCGGAAGTTGTTTGTCGTACGGTCCCAACGTGGCGAACGCCTTACCACGCCAATTGGGGCTCTGGCGCGGCGGACCCCCATTTCCTTTGATTCTCGTGGGAACTTTATGGATACAATAAAGAAAACACAAAACAGCAGTCCTCTAACTGTCCAAATAAAGAAAACCGGTAGTTCGGCAGGCCAATAGAGCAATGCCTCATCAGCAACAAGCCCAACACCCCAATGCAGCTCGATGATTAATGACCTCTCTGGGAAGAAAAGGAAGCATCAAACGTCTCCCTCAACTCCTAAAATAAACTCCAACGACTCGACGGAATCTACACTGTTGTTCTTAAGGAGTACCCTAAGAACCGCTTTGTATGAAGCGAAAACTGCACAGGCGTCCAGCTCTGAAACTTCATACCTTGTGGAACTTTTATCTACCATGGACGAAATACTTGATAATCTGCTGACTAAGAAGGGGATGATCGGGAGCCCTGTCACTGAATATAGAATATGCGAACATCACAACGAGGACGGGGTAGTAAAAAACTGGGACTTTCCGGTTTCTATCAGGAATATTTTTGAAGTAAGAACGACACGTAAATCGATCCAGAAACATGGTCGATCTCATATTCGATTTCTACAAGTAATAAACATTCAAATCGTACTGATGCACCAAAACGAAGTCGTCGTCGATCACAGTCATCGTCTCCGCACCAGCCGTTTAAATATTTGATTGTAGACGAGTCCCATAATAATCGGTTAGCCAAACGTGTATCGCGGATTTCGAGCACTTACAACTACAACGGGGAGAATTCGACCTGCACTTTCAAACGTAGTCGCTCGCCGTATTCTTCCTCCCAATGCCGGTCGGTGAAATATAGAATATGCGAATATGAAAACCAGAGCCAGGTAATCGAACACCGGGACTTAACGATTTCCAACAGAAACATTTTTGAAGTAATATCGACCCGTACATCCACCCAGAAGTGTTTTCGATCACAGTCGTGTTCTTCAGGCCGTCCTTTTAAATACCTGAGAACGGAAAATTTGGTGGTCGGATGTGGGCGGTATTCGATTTATAAAAGCTCCGCAAATCCTATTGGTCGTGCATCGAAACGTAGTTGTTGTCGATCACAGTCATGCTCTCCGCACCGTCCGATCAAATATTTGACCATCGACGAGTCTTGTGAGGGTCGAAGAGTTGGACAAGAATTTCGGAAACTTTTTTGTTTTTGTTTTTTACTACGAAGAAATATGTTATTAAAAAAACCTTTTTATTTACTTATATTCTGAAATAAATTTGAATTTATTACAATACATCTAAATATTATTTATATTATACCAATATTTAATGTTTCTTTATCAATAGAAAACATTGCCTAATAAAATAAATAAATTATTACAATTATAAAAGTATTAAACATTTATTATATTTCATTTATATGTATTTATTAAAATTGACTTAAACTTAGTAATGATCAAGGAACACTATGCTTTTATTCAAATTAAATTAAATAATCTATTGAATTTTCAAGTGCTTAACTCTCTTTTAAATCATTAACTTAAAGTGTCATATAATTTCATTCAATATAACATACGTAATATGCACGAGAAAACCAATATTGATAATTATAATTTGTTTTATTGGTGTCAAAACTTTGGATAGATATAATTTCCTTGTATATAGACCTTATGGTTCTACGAGTAAATTTTATAACCAAATTCAATTTATGGGCCATACGATGAATGAAAACTACTTCAGGGTGTAATTCTCTTTTTCTAGTTTGAACACTAAAAAAAATTATATGATTTATAATTTATAAGCAATAATTATTTTAAGTTATATAAATAAATACTCAAGTGAAAAAATATACTTTTTCCAATTGTTGTATTCAGTTTTTATTAAATTTCCTGTTTTTTCAATTCTTTGCAAAATTAATAAATTTAAAGCAAAAAATAGCATTACAAGATCTACTTTATTCTAGCCATTTAAATTCACTAGGGGAACACGGGGGAATAGTGCGCATTGGGTAATGGTGCGCACATCGATATCTTCTAAACCAGGGATATTCGAGGTTACTTGATAATAACTAAAAATAATTAGCTGATTGATTTTATCAATTGATCAAAATTTGATAACGTTACAATTACTATCTTTCCGTTAATTTAAGAAAACGTAAAATCACATAATTTCATCTAATTATTGAAGATTTTATAAAAACTGTAAGTATTAGTTAGTTTAATTGCTTTATATAACCAATAATACCACTGTACAGATAATTTTCCATACTTCAAAATAAATATATATTTATGGAGTTGTACGTGTTATAGATTTGATAATAAATCATTTTATAACAAAAAGTATTATGGGTTAATGCTGCGCATTTGTTCTGGGGGAATGATACGCACTACAAATGCGCATCATTACCCCTTACTTAAAATATGAATGATAATTTAGAATCATTTCAATCAATTAAAATGTTTGTTTAAAACATCTATATTAATTATTATAATATATATAGACAAAAAATATTAAATACCAAAATATTCATACAATTTTAAAACTATTTTAAATATTCGAAATGTTTACTTTAAATTATATTTATTATTATAATTTTTCTTATAGACAAACATTTTTAATAAACATGGGTAGAACATATAAAAGACAAAGTAAACATGCTTCTTGGTTACCTGAAACTTTACATGCTGCCCTACTAGCTATTAAGTCTGGGAAAAAAATAAGAGCCGTCAGTAGGACTTTTGATATACCAGAATCAACTCTTCGCCTTAGATTAAAAAATAAAAATATCGGTGGCCCTAAATTGGGTAGGAAACCAACTTTTAGCTATGACGTTGAATTAGAGTTAGCTGATCAAATTTTAAAAATGGCTAAATTTTTTTATGGGTTAACTCCAATTGAGTTAAGGAGACTGGCATTTGAGTATGCAGAAGCAAATCATATTCCGCACAGATTTAATAAAAACACAAAACTAGCCGGTCCCGATTGGCTTCAGCTATTTATGAAAAGACATCCAAATATTTCCTTAAGAAAACCAGAGGGTACAAGTCTAAGTCGAGTTACATCATTTAATGAGACCAATGTTAAAAAATTCTATGAAAATCTAGAACAATGCTTAAATAAATATAAATTACATGGTAAAGCTGATAAAATATATAATGTTGACGAAACTGGGATAACAACAGTCCAAAAACCTTCAAAAATTTTAGGCCCAAAAGGACAAAAACAAGTTGGTTCTTTGATTAGTTGGGAAAGAGGTAAAAATGTAACAACAGTATGCTGTATGAATGCTGCTGGATCATTTGTCCCACCAATGTTTATATACCCACGGACTCGAATGAACATTCTTTTAGAGAAAGGTGGACCAGTTGGATCTATTTATGCATGTTCCAAAAATGGTTGGATTAACAGTGAACTATTTTTAGAATGGCTAAAACATTTTTCTAAAAGTGTTAAACCAACTTCCGAAGATCCAGTTTTATTGATTATGGATAACCACTGTAGTCATATTTCACTTCAAGCTTATGAATTTTGTAAGGCAAATGGTATTTGTGTCGTTACATTGCCTCCACATACATCTCATAAGTTACAGCCCCTTAATCTTACATTTTTCGGACCACTAAAAAATGCATTTAATCGCGAATGTGATTTATTTTTAAAGTCTAATCCACATGAAAAAATTACCATGTATGATTTGTCTTCTCTGTTTAACAAAAGTTACTGTCGAGTTGATACTATGGAAAAAAGGACTTTCAGGATTCAAAGCTGCTGGAATATTCCCATTTAATCCTAATAAGTTTAATAGTAACGACTTTGCTTCTGCACAAGAAATGATAAACATCAATATAAATAACTCTGTACAATCTGTCCAAATTATCAATGAAGCTACAAATATATCCCCGTCTATAGAATCTACAGATGATAATTTGGAAACAAAAAATGTTACTCCTCAAGTTATTATGCAAGAAAATGTCGTTTCCAACTTACAAAACCAACCATCAACATCTACAAACATTTATAGAAAAACTATTTCTAAAATTTGTCCAATTCCTCAACCAAAACCAAAATCTAAAAAAAATTAATTCACGTCTAGGCGCATCAATAATTTTAACAAAAACACCCATGAAAATTCAGTTGGAGGTAAAACAAATTAAAAAAGAAGCTATTGATTTAAATAAATGTGTAAAAAAAGATTTATTTGGTATATCTCTAAAGCAAAAAATATTCAAGAAATTAAAAAAAGAAAAAACAATCAAACCGACCAAAACGTGTTGGAAAACGACAAGTAAGTTAGTTTTATGGATGAAGAGCAAGCAAATATTCAGGATGATAACTTATGTATTATTTGTAGCGAATTTGGAGTAAAGGAAATGTGGTATAGATGTAGGCAATGTGGACTTTGGGCACATGCGTTATGTACAGGATTAGATTCTGCTGCGGTATTCATTTGCGACTTTTGTCAAGAAACAGAATGCGTTAAGTAATTTAAAAGACTAAATTTAAATAATAGTAGTATTTAAATATATATGTATATAGTAATAAAGAGACTGAAACATATATTCACATATCTAAGATGTTTAGTTATTAATATAATAATATTGTTATCTAATAAGAACAAGTTATTAAAAATTTATTTTTATTAATTTTAAACTTTTTATTTAGTGTGAATAAACTATTATATAAAGATGTTACATTTTCCTTTAAGTTCTAATTGTTCATACTATCAACCTACTGTTAATTTTAGTTTGTCAATTAAGTATATTCAATTGATTATGATTGTGATAAAATAAAGGTTTTATTGGTTGGTTTAATAATTAAAATGTATTTTTATTATATATAATTCGTACTTATAATTTGTGCAATTCTTAACACTATACCAACACATTTAAATTAAATTATTAATTGAAATATTAGAAATTACTAAATGCGCACGATCACCTCATATATTATTCAATAATAAAAATTGTGCGCATAATTACCCCAAAATAAAAATGATAGTGCGTATCATTACACCGTACCTTGGGTAATTATGCGCATTTAAGTTTTTTTCTTTTTTGATTTTTTAAAAAAACGAAAAAACAGTTAAGTCCCGAGAATTCAAAAAAACTTAAACTAAGATATCAATAAAGATAATGGAAATTATTTAAAATCAGTGTGACATACTTGAGGCTCACAGGATCGTTTTTTCCTTAAGTGCGTGACATTTCTCCGTGTTCCCCTATAGTATTTAGCATTAAAACTTCTATTCTGAGTTCAAAATGTAGTTAATGGAAATGTCTAGAAAAAAAAAATTCTTCAATATTTTCTTTGTAAAACCAAATTTCATTCGATGTCCCGCACTCGTAATGTGTGCATCTAAATGACTCGTTAATTACTATTTAATTAAAATTCAAACCAAATACTTAACCGTTTTTGTTGTAAAAAGTGTCAAAAAAACAATAATTTTTAAACGTTATTTAACAAAAAGAAAATCACTGTCCGTCTGGAGCCAAAAAACCCCAAGACACGACTTTTTGTAAGTATTTTATTTACTCAAACCCATATACGTAAATACAACCGTCCTCCAACCGCATAACTTTCACTTACGTAACAACACCCAATTAAAATGAATATTAAAATAACTAAAACTATCTCCCCAATTAAAATTATCAATCAAAATACCGTGCAAAAAAAAAACACACACATAATAATCAGCCATCTTACTCCGGTAATAATGATGTTTTCAATTACAACTGGACTGAAGTCGTTTCTTCTAAATCTCAATAACGTTTAAACTCCGAAAAACAAAGTCCGTTATCAAAAACAGCCAAAACTACTATAATGATGAGCACAATGTACCTGTTACCTACCACACAGTCCGGCCCAGAGACTTCCGGAAAGTAGGTCGCATTTACTATGATAATTGAAGGGCCCACAATGTAAAGTGACTTATTGATAAATAAAATTAATACAATAATTGCTTACGGTCGGTATCGGATCAATGTTAGTATAATAATAATAAATTAAAAACAAAAGGCACAATAATATATTTTAAGCAGGGCGCCCTCGAATGCTAATAATAATAATAATAATAAAACAAAAAAAAGAACAATATAATAAATTTTGCATACAGAAGTATGCATTTGAGTGGTGGACGAAAACAAGTTTTCATTATCATCAGATATATTTTTTCAGTCTAATTGTTTCGTTGCACACAATATATCGTAAATAGAATAACACATTGACGTTAAAATATGAATCGTTTTACAAAAGCTCTTAGTGAAAAAGGTAAACCGTTATTAGTTCTTGACGAGTTTAAGTTTCGAAAATGTACTATCTTAAAAAATGGAATAAAATAAAATCAAATTAAATAAATTTTATGTAGTTGTGACAAAATATTTGTTGATGGAACATTTGAATTTTGTTCTAAATATTTTTATCAACTTTTTACGATACATGGTTTGAAAAATGGGCACTATGTTCAACTTATATTTTCTTTACTGCCAAACAATGCTATCAAGTACATGCGAATATTTATTTCAAGTTTTGATTAGTAAATTTGCAACATTCAATCTTTATTTTAATCCAAAAACAGTCGTTAAAACAATCAAACTTGTGACCAAATGAACAAATATATTTTTCTGTAAACTAACCAAATTATATTATTCTAAATTGTAATTTCATGCTCAAATTATTATTTAAAAAATTATTATTATTCTTAATCTCAAAAATCTTATAACTTTATGATATAACCACCTATTTCTCTGTAAAACTGTATAATAATACAATATATTATGCATAAATACTCGTAAAAGAATCGGTTAGCAACTAACTAATAAATTTTCTTAGGTAATGTCAAATTTTTAGAGCGCAGTTGGTCTATCGACTCTAAAATTTTTAGAGCGCAATTGGTATATTGACCCTTGAATGTTTAAAGCGCAATTGGTAAACTTTCCATGACTCGTAGTTAACAATCAGCCAAGCGGACGCCGGCCGGCCAGCCGCTTCTTTTAAATTTTAAAATCCCAGTAATCGGCTACTCTCTGCGCTATTCTCGTGGAAGAAAAAACGTGTTGCTGGACAATAGACGTCGCAAATGTAGGCATTTTGAAAATTTTAATGAAAACAATTTATAATTACCTACGATTCTCTCGGTGCACAAATAATGATCGTTTTGATCAAATCAGTTCGTTTTCGTGACAAAAATTAAAAATCAAAAACCACGGATAAATTAACTTATAAAATTACTTTTATTCTTATTAAAAATTAATAAAATCATATTTTTTTTTTGAGGTTAATTTCTTATCGTTTACTACATATTGTACGCAACTTCAGGTTGTAGTTTCAAAATTTATATAGAGGAAATAAAGCTCGTGTCTTACTTTTAAAAAAAAAAATTGATACGTGAATACGTCTTCTACCAGGATTACCGTTGTTTTTATTTTACCGAGTTCTCTGTTTTGTGTCTTGTTCAACCGTCAACCGTACTAAATCAGGTAAGAGCGTGTAGTTTTCTTTCTTAACTATGTACGACTGATGGTACCTACGTAATTGCCCTACTTCCAGCACTGCCTTATGTTAAGTGTATGTTAAGTCTACTAAAAATTCGGTAAATCTTTATGTCGATACTTTTGAAATTCAACAATGCCTGTATGTATTGGATTTATTTCCATTGAATGTAGCACCACATAATATTATATTATAGTTACTTATTTTTCGGCATTAATTTATTAATATTTTAATGAAAAGGTAATATCCACTGTACAAATTGCAAGTTTTTAGTGTCTTGAAAGTTTTTATTAAAATAATAGTCATTACCTTAAGTAAATAATATATAACTACTGTTACCTATCCCTTCTTATTATGACAATGATGAATTAATGTATTCAGTTCATATCATTTACTTTTAACTATCAATTTATTACACTTAGAATGCCATCCGATTCTAAAAAGAGACAAATGCAAAAAAAAGAAAGATGCCGCCAAAGCAAGACAAAATATTAAACCAGCTGGAACAAAAGCAAGTGAAAATGGAGTAAATGGTGAAGAAAATGTTCCTATTAGTGAAGAAGGTAGTACAAATATTTTATTTATTAAATTGTAATATATAATTATTATTGAGTTATACTACAAGCTTATACTTTGGTTTGATTAACATATTTTCAATACTTCATGATGAATGGTAATTCTTTTCTTGATTATTACTATAAACAAAAATTATCAAAATCTAGTCTGTTCTCATTATAATTAATTATTTTTCTTTTTAGGTTGTGGTTCCAGTACTATTTAATACTAAGTATATTTACATTAATATAATTTTTTTTTTTTTAATTTTAGAGTTGCTTTGTAAAAAGCTAGAAGCTGATGCTAAATTGAATGCTGAAGCTCGAGCTTGTACTGGTAGTTTAGCGTCTCATCCAAGGTCTAGGGATATTAAGATTGATAATTTATCAATAAGTTTTCATGGATGTGAATTGTTGCAAGACACTATGTTAGAATTGAATTGTGGGCGCCGTTATGGTTTAATAGGTTTAAATGGAAGTGGTAAGTAATAATTCATTATTATTTATTATAATTGTTTTACTTGAATTAATATTTTTTATTTTCTCAGGAAAGTCAACATTATTATCAGTATTAGGAAATCGAGAAGTTCCAATTCCTGATCAAATTGATATTTTTCATTTGACTAGAGAAATGCCAGCATCTGAAAAATCTGCACTTAAATGTGTTATGGAAGTAGATCAAGAAAGAATAAGGCTAGAAAAACTTGTTGACGAATTAATAGCATGTCCCGATGACGGTAAATTACTTTTTTTAATTAATTATATTTATAATGCATTAATAATAAATAATTACTTATTTTTAAAATAGAATCACAAGAACAATTAATGGATGTTTATGAAAGATTAGATGACATTAGTGCTGATACAGCTGAAGCTAGAGCTGCCAATATATTACATGGTTTAGGTTTTTCAAAAGAGATGCAGAACAAAAAAACAAAAGATTTTTCTGGTAATTTTTTGTAAACAATATAATTTTTAATTTATCATAAATAATTCTATTCATTTAGATGATTAATTATTTGGTTTTATATTTATTATTA